CTGCGCGAAGGCTGGGCTTGAACCGCTGAAGTGTCGACCATTTCTGGCCGGCAACTTTCAGCGTCATTAAGCCGCTGCGCCACCGCATCCCCCAGTCTAGTGACTAGTTTGTTTTAAAATGCCGCAAGGTGCTTATATTTTCCCCTGCAGTAAGATGGCTTTGAAAACTTTCCAAATAGAAATAGGCTTTTTGCAGGAGCTTGAAACGGAGGTGGAGAGACGGCACCTCCGGGAGTGTTTCCTTCTCGGTCAGTGGCGTTCTCTTTTGCCTTGGCAGTTGTGGTCAGGGCATCCACGTCCGTCTGCCGAGCGCCAGTTAGCACAAGCATCCTGGCACTCAAGGAGCCCAAACCCTTGCAGGAAAGCATAATGAAGTGGCGGTGGAGGAGGGACCGCCACAGGTCAGCCTTTATTAATGGCCTGCAACTGGGTGCGCTCGCCTGTCCCCCTCCCCTGCCTACTTTGCTTCAGGCCTTTGAAACTGAGCCCTGGATTCACTTTGTAGCTCTGGAAATGATTAGAAGGCTTGAGTAAATTTAATGCAAGTGGTGAACCATTAAATCGGTTAACAAAGCCATGAAGCAGGATGTGCATAATCTAATTAAAACTGCTCAACGTCCCAAGATGTTCCCTTGCCAGACTTCCTTGCACATTCTTGCAGCCTCTTACATTGCTGTGTGCAGTTTTTCTTTGGAGTGAACAACATGTGCATTTGATTGATATTTCTCCCTCCAGTGAGGTTCATTTTGATTCCAGACAGTTGGCTCCAAGACCAAAGTACAGCTAGAGATTTAGAGGGGGAAGGCCAGAGGGTTGGAGCTCAGCAAGATGTCCAGCTGTGCAGAGCGATCCGTTGGCACTGATACAACAAGGAACGCAACATGGCAGCAGCTGGCCAGGGCTGGGCGTGATGCTTGAAGAACACAGGGGTGCAGAGTCCTGCCAGGAACAGTTGAAGGAGCCGGGAATGTTTAGCCGGGAGAAGGGGTGGCCTGGAGGGCTTCTGCTCCGGTGCTGGAGCAGGCCGGTCCTCCGTTCCTTCAGAGCGCTAGAACAGTTGAATGAACTGCGGGGAGGCAGGCTTTGGGTAGATGGAAAGGGCCTTTTGGTCATGGTACCAGCTGCTTCAGGAGACCGCAGCCATCCTGCTTGGCAGAACGGCCTTGAATGACAGGTTGAACTTGATCTGGGGCCAGGAGCCTATATTTTCTATCCTGCAAATCCTCCTGGTTTGTTTTTTGGAGCAACCTGGGAGCTGGGTGAGTTTCAGATGTGGGAATGGAAGTGTTCTGTCTCCCAGAGGCCTTGTGCGCCATCGTCCGCATTATTTTGTCTTGTGCCTGCGAGTGATACCGAACAAAAGAAAATAGCAAGAATCAAGCTCTGGTCTCCCCCCGCGCCCCCCCCCCCCCCCCC